CCTAAAATTTAATCAGCAATATAGAATGGCGCAACTAGAACTCCAATATTAATCCGTTAATGAAAATTTCGTTCAAAGAGTCGTCATTTGTAACAGGAGTCGAGCGAGGTAACCATTCATTCGACCGATATCATTTTCCACGCATATTTCCCAAACGCATTAATTACATCGATACCAATAAACATGAACATTAATTTAACAAAAACAAAATAATAACTTACCTTTTTTTATTGTTGATTTAAAATTGCATGCACATTCTTATTGCGCCAATATAATATTATATAGTATAAAAGAAAAAATATATTGAAGGCACATCGTGTATCGAATGGGTTTTAATTTAAGCGAATATTTGAAAATCAAAAAACAAACAGAGAGAGAACGGGGGGGGAGGGGGAGGGATAGAAATACAGGAATAAAGGTACATACATACATATATACATACATACACACATACATACATACATACATACGTATATGGAGTCGTGTAAGATCATCGTGTCAACTCGTGGATCAAGTGGATTAGAGGGCTACGAACAATTGTCGTCGATTGACAAGGATGGATGAAAGAGTCCCCTTCTGAGCCCACTTGAGTCGCATCCACTTTAGTACGTGCTAACACCTCCGACCATTTCGTGGGTCAAGTTCCTAAACTTTCAAAGAACTTTCCGGCCGATCGGTGGTGTTACGATCATTTCTTCGAAATAACTACGACGATCGATCAAAGTAAAAAATACAATTAAAATAAATCAAAAGAATATTTTTTCTATAACGGAACTTACGCGATTGGGTGTTCAATCTTTGAGAGGGCTAACGATCGGAGAGAGAGAGAGAGAGAGAGAGAGAGAAGATATATGTGTAAAAGAAAATAATGATTTATATTTATGAGTAATATAATTGATTCGATTAATGCAAGAAATCAATCCAATTTTTGTTTGTACTATCTGAAATCGAGCATGTAAAATATTTATTTAAAAAAGACAAAAGAAACGAGCAGGTTTGTTTTCATGAAGTACGCGTATGTATTATTTCTTTTTCTTGTAATATTTTTTAACGATCGCAATATTCCGACTCGATAATTTAAATAATTGTCTAAGCATAACGTTCGATTTATGAGTAGAGTAATTTTGTACGACATTAAAGTTACTAAATTATTGGATGTCTCTAGAGTGTTTTAAAAAAGGTCGGTAAATTTAGTGATAAAACTTGACCCACATAGTTGTGAGTTAGATAATATTTTTTGTTTGTTAACAGTTGGATCGATATATCGACGCTTTTTATCTTTTTTCGAATTTGTTTTAATTTGTTTTTTTTTTGTTTTTTAAACGAAAGATTTAATCGGTGTTTCTTCTCGACTCATCTTCTCACGTGACCAAAGTGTGTGCTAACATAAGTGAAGAAAAAGAAGAAAAAAAAAATGCACATAGTATAAAAGTAATACATCGATAAGTAAATGACCCCTGTTAAAGATCATCAATGACTTTTTTGCATCGAAGTGGTGGTGTGATATCTTTATTAATGAAACACTTGTGCGAAGGTGATGGAAAACTTGTTATCAATCTAATTAGAGTAAATAAAAAAGCGTATAGTTTTTAATTTTTTATTTTGTTTTGTTAGAAATCAATCAATCAATTCCAACAAAGTTTGCACTCGTTAGAAGATTTCTTCTTTTTTCATTTTAATTTGCTTTATCCAAAAAGTTAATCTCAAAAAATTAATGTATTCTCGATAAAAAGAAAGGTAAACATTTGAATATTATTTTTAGAAATAAAACTCTGACCTACATGCATTAAAGTGTTTATTTGCTAATTAGTAAATTATTAAAATGTTATAATTTGCAAACTGCATGTGTTCAATGGCGTCACTTCGCGTGATTAATACAAACGATTTAGTATACATATTCAATAGTTTCATAAATCTTTTGAAATCTATTTTTAGTTTAGAAATTTTCATAGATAAAATGAAAGTAATAGTATGTCTTTTTTTTTTGTAACCAAAAACTTAAAAATATTTTAAATACAATTACAATTTAAATATTTAAATTTCAATTCTTACACATGCGTGCAAGCTTAAACGTATACATGCATTTATGCATAAATGTGTAAAAAGAAAATTGGAAATAATACTAACCGTGATAAGAACATCGTCGAATTTGCTCGGTTCTTAACGCAATAAATTATCCTAGTTGGGGTCGAGGAGAAAGGAAAGATCGATAATATCATCTTCTTCGTTTTGTATGGTATTTTAAACGGACAAGAAACGAGAACAAACGAAAAATACCACTAATGCGAATAAGCATGATTCAAATACGATACAATTAACGATATAAAATTTTATAGAAATCTTGCGATGACAATTTCCTTTTAAAATTTAATTGGTGGCATAATATATATATATATATATAATAATAATAACAATATAAATTACATTCATGACTCTGTGACCCAAAAAGTTTTCACTATCAATTTTTTTTCTTTTTTTATGTAATATACAATTCTGTATTATATAATTTTCTATTATATTATTACTAGTGAAATAATAATTTTGCTGCAGAAAACTAATAAAAATTATAATACACATAATAATAATAATATCAATTTAATTTACAATTTTTAGAAATTCTTCTAAATAACTTTTCTTTTTTTTTTTTTATTTATCAATATTTTTCAATATTTTTCAATAGATAATTTTTTCTTATATTATTACTGACGAAACAATTTTACGGCACGTAATTAGTTACTCGGCTCCTCGTGAATCTTTCTTTCTCTTTCTTTCGGCTTTTTGTTTTCCTATTTTTTTTTTTGTTCAAAAGAAATCGTTCTACCGAAGGGATAGAAAAAAAAGAAAAGAGGGGAAAAAAACCAAAGTTGGAAGCCATATATCGTTGAAACGAAATTGCTACCCATTGTTCGCCTTGGGTTTTTCTTTCAATAATATCGAAGGCACGCAAATTGTGTTCAAAACAACGTGCATAAAACTCTTTTACGAGCAAATTCATGGTTTATCCGACAGGCAAATGATTCTTATTTGTGTTCTGTCTAGCAAAAGATTTTTCTTTCATTTAACTGTACTATTTGATGAACTGGATTTACTTACGGATGTAACATAAACGAACAAAAATAAAATGTTATTTCGTTTTATTATATTTAAAAAAAAAAAAATAAAGAAAAAAGAGAAGCAGAACCGATATTCACCTAAACCATAAAAATCATAAAAAAATAATGTTGGATCGATGGAGATTAAACGTGAATTTGAGATAACAGAAAGTACGATAAAAATAAAAAATATATTTCAGATGATACATCTACGCCATACACATATGTGTTGTACGTGTGCGTTAAAATGAGATAAATTTACGTCTCGTAAAACAAAAATATAATTTTATCGTTTAATAAAAATGATACTTATGGTAATAAGACGATTAATTATCGCGTGATAATGTAATGATCAATGTTCTCTGTAAATTGTAAGTATAAAATACGTCTAGAATAATATTTCGATTTTGGTAAGCATAAAACACTTTTAAAGTAGACAATTCGTTCTATTCTTTGAACATGCATATATCATTCACGTAATTCGTAACAACGGAATGCCATTCTATGATGACGAGTTGCGTGTTTCGTCTAATCATTGAAAATAATTACAAGGAATTTGTCATCTCATATGTACATCATTGCTAGTAAAGAAAAAGATAGAAAATTAGACGTTAGTCAAAGTTTTTTAACGTAATGAAAAATGTTATATGGTTGGTTGTTAGTCGTATCGTATTCGATCATGTTTATTTTATTTCTAATTTGTACATTTATTTTACGACAACGAATTTAATTATCTCGTAGAAGTAATAAACAAATATTTTACATATCATGATACAAATTTTCGATAATGAAAGATTTCGTGAAAAAAACGAAAAAAAAAAAAAAAACAACAAAAATTGTGATTACTTTTATATAAGTTTTAGAGCATACGGAATTTGTGTTTCATTACTTTAAAACAATACTACTTCTCTGTCATAATTATAAATCATTTCTTCTTATCGTTCTTTTCTTTACGATTTTTATAGTCTTCTTTTTTAAAATCGACGAGTTTTGGATTACAAAATAATTATCGATCTCTAAAAAATAACACAATAACGAAACAACTTCTCGCTTGTTAAAAACTTTAACCACGAGTATATATATATTGTAAAGGTTGAAGAGGAAAACCACCGATGATTTCGTCCAATTTGTAGGGCAACGTTTCTCAATCTGGATAAAAGAGAAAGATAAAGAAAGACAGAGAAAGAGAGATAGAGATAGAGAGGAGAAAGAAAGAGAAAGAGATCTGTAAAAACGATCGTGAAGGTATAGCGGTACATAAATTGGATTTCTTGCGCTTCGAGAGAAACGGAAACGTGACCGAGTTGTACTTGTGTATTTCAATGCGAATAAGGATTGTTTCTAATGTATTTACATATATGTAATTTAATTCTAAATATGGTACTCTTAAGAAGGCAAACACATAAGAACTCTGTTAAATAGAAATAACGAAATAAGTATTAAAATACAAAAGATTCTTTCAAATGCTATGGATAGATGATATTTTGAAATCTTTCAATCAAAGACTGGAATCTTTAATTAACGATAAAAAGTTTTGAAGAATTTGTTAGATAAAAAATATCTCTATAAAATACCGATCAAAGATTAATCAAATAAAGAAATTAATTTTTTTTTATAATCTATTAATCGCTGATAATATATATTTAAAAAACAGAATTTGATTTCTTTTTTTATCATTAACAATACAATAGGAATGAATGGTGTGGTGGTATGTAGTTAGTTTGAAGAAGGAATGCGATCGATCAACTCTAATTTTAAGCTTCAAATATAGACGAATTTCAGGGCTGTATTTATAAGTTCCAAGAACTTAGGGGTTGTTTTTTGTATTATTAAAAAAGTAAAATCTTTGTCCAATCCTTTGAACTAGGATAAAAATAGTTAATAACTATTTATATTGTCTGTTTTTAGCTACGTCAGCAGTGATTCTCAAAACAGAGAACGAGCATCATCATTTGTCGAGTCTTTCGGGTGACAACGTTCTTGGTGCAGGGGTGAGAATCGGTAGGGGAGAAGGCGCAATCGCAAACGAAAACGGCCAAATTATGGATTCGGCGCAATCTGCGATGATGAAGCAAGCGGACTACGTCGTAGGTTGGTGAACTTCGCCTACTTATCATTTTTCAAAATAATATAACATATTTCATTGATATAAATAATCATATTATAACAGTGAAATCATTATAAGTGACATTTCATTTTTATAAATAGTGAAACGAATTCACTCACGTATCTAATTCATCTAATGAAGATTTGTATCATTCGGTAGATCAACATTGTTATTAAGATTAATTTCATGTTTCCTTATGAGAAATTATTTTATTGCACATTTTCGACTGGAAGTGGTGTTTTCCTTCTCTGATGATAATGAGTTTTCATATTGATGATACGTAACAGCTGCAAACGAGAAGATAACGTTGAAGTCATTTCTCTTTCTTAGTTTTTTCTTTTTCTTTTTTATTTCATTCTTCTTTTTCTTCATCCTTTCTTGCCAGCATCCAAGAGCGTAAATCGATCTTTGTACAATGATGTTTCTTTGAATGCTAATAAGTAATATTTTATTCTATTTTTAGTATTTTTGTAGACCTAACTTATTCTCTTTTTATTTCTTTTTTTATTACATGTGTATATTTTGTAGTTTTTATTTTTTTTTAGTAATAAATTAACTATACAATTATCACGAATATATATATTTGTATAAAAAGAAAAAAATAAGAGAAACAAGTTACGAATGTCATCCTATTAGTCACACAATTCGTCTAAAGTTCACTGTGTCATGTTTTCATAGCGATCAGTTGTAAAACGAAAGAGAAGATGATGATTATGATGATGAGAAGAGCGCAGTGAATAAGAGAGGACTGGCGGTTTACTTGATGTTTTAAACAGATTAATTAATTCGATTCTTTTTCATTTTACAGATGTTGTACTTCCAACCGTCCTGATCGCTTTATTGTTCGTTGGAAATGCCATCATTGTCTATATTATATTCCAGTATAGAAAGAGGTAAGACATTTTTCTAAGAATATTTTCTCATATTATTTTTGCTAATTATTTTTCTTCATTTGTGTCGAAAACAAAATAAAAATTAATATTTCTCAACAAAAAATTGATCCTTTTTACAGAAAAGTTCCAACGACAGCACAAGGAGAAGAGATGGCCCTAAGAAATACAGCGGATGTTCCACAAGTGTGATTCCAAAGGAAGAAGACTAATTACTTTTAATGTCAATTGTCGTTTAAGCAGAAAGTTAATCAAAGGCCTAGTTCGTATATATATATATATATATATATGTATATATATACACTTCGGAAGAATAAGAGACGTCATTTAATAAAATGAAACGTTCATTCTTTATATCTACGCAGATGCGAAGATGGTATACGCCATGGGAAACATAATACATATAAATCCTTTCAAGAATTCTATTTAAAAAGAATAAGAAATAAGAACAAAAAAGATAAAAAAATAAATTAATTAATTAATTATTAAAAATTACTAATAAATTTAACATTGCGTACACATATACCATAAACGAATATGATGTACTGCTGCCATGACATTGCGTATACTTTTAACGATAGTGCATTATAATGTAAGGAAATAATATATTCTATATTTCGTCCAAATTGTGAATAACTTATAAATAAAACAGATTTTTTCTTAAATAGATTAGGCTACTCTGATAAAGGAAGAAAAAGAAAGAAAAGTAATTAATTTCTATTATAGTTTTATCGTTTGTCTATCTTCTGATATTCTTAAATCAAATTACGAAAAATTTATAATAGATTAAAAGATGCTTTATTCAAATTCTTTTTTTCTTCATACATAATCATATATTCGTACATATCATTTTTTTCTTAATATATATCATACATTTGTACACATCTCTTTTTTGTTTATTTTCATACATAATTTTTATATATAAGCACGATAAAGTTTATTTCAACGAATTTGTCTTAAAAGAATGGTGTATTAAATCAATGATAAATTAATTACAATTAAAAATATTTTTGTAATGTCTCTCCTTAAATTTCCTCCAACGTTCTGGCTAGAAACTATACTCTCATGAAATATACCTTTATCCAACTTTAGGATGAAATAACAGACTAAAACATTTTCTTGTTTGCGCCAATTGTGTAGTTTGTGAAATTCTTAGCGTTTTCAATTGATTCGCTAATGAAGTAACCATTTTAAATTTGTAATTAATAAATCGACACAATAATTATTGACTGTATTAATAATTAACTTTCAATTATTATTATTTATATTTGATTTTGATTGTCATTGCGTATGTAATATACAAATTTGATGAAACTTTTGATCAAGTTTAACATGATGTACATCATATACTTAACTCTATAATGTTTAATGATAAAATAATTATAAATAATTTACTTTATCACTTGTCGTCTTTAAATGTGATTATTTAAAAACATATATCACAGCACGACAAGTATCACGCGATGCAAGTGGGGAGTCTAGGGGTAGCATGGTGTCACGTGACCTCGTGCTTTCAGAAGTTTCTCCCAACAATGTTCGATGACGCTAGCATCGCATAATGAATAAAGTAGTAGTAGTATACAGTTTAACCTCACCTGAAAGATGGCGTAAAAAACTCAACTTGATTTTTAATAGACATAACGGAGTTTGGATATGGACGACTAATTTTATAAATATACTATTTTCATCTACTGTATGTATTTTGTAATAATCTAACCTGTTTCGAATTATTCAATATCATGTAAGAAATTACATTCTTATTATTTATTTTTCTTTGCAGATATTTATTGGTAACACACAACTAACTTTATTTAATAATACTGCAGTTTATACTATCACGTGAATAAAATGGCTACCGCCCTAAGTTGAATTTAAACAAAATGCTGTGTATTATTATGTGAGTTTGACTTTTTATGAAAAATAATATGACAATGCGAAACTTGCATTGAATTTTATAATGACGTAATTTTAACGACGAATATTTTGTATAAATATATCAATATATAATTGAGAAGGAGTATTTTTGAATGACAGTTGTCACTTTTATAATATGAGTCATGTCAAAATAATGATGATATTATAAATGGACACTTAATGAATGCATTATATGTATTTTAAATATATAATTGTTAGTTACAATTAACTGTTCAATTTACGTGTACAAAATGCCGGTCCAAAAGGATTCCAATATCGTGAAAATTGCTGTTCAGATGACAGATCAAGTACCGCAGTTAATTGAGTTTAATCAAAAACAACCATTAACTGGTATTATTCAGGTAAATAAAGTCTTAATCTTGATACAATTTATGTAAATGTAACTATAAAAATTATTAAATGAATTAAAAATTCTGTGTTTTTCATTTGTAGGAGCTGTGTAATGGATGGGGTCTTTCTGATTCAGAATTATATTCGTTACAATTTTCTGAAAATAATAATCAAAATTATATTACAGAAAAGAATCGTAACGAAGTAAAAAATGGTAGTATTTTAAGATTAGAGTTTTCTCCTTCTAAGATAGCTACGGATATATTGACAAAATTGAATAGTGGCACTTCAGAGGAGAACATTGCAGCGTTACAGAAATTAAGCTCATTAAGTACAGATATGACATTTGCATTAGAATTTATCAATAAACAAGGATTAGGTCTCATTGTCTCTCAGGTATTTTAATCTCTTTCATATCTCTTTTTATTAATTCAACTAATAATTTTGTAAAGATATGGTTATTATTCTTTTCATATACGTATATATAGGTTGAGTGTGGAATATATAAAGGTAGCGCTTTAGCATATTCTCTTCAGTCCTTCGTAGAATTGATGGATCATGGGATTGTATCTTGGGATATCTTGGAGATACCATTCATTAATAAAGTAGCAAGCTATGTGAATAATCAATCAGTGTCTTTAGATACCAATATAATCGAAGCAGCACTTAGTATCTTAGAAAACATTGTTTTGAATTCATCAGGCAAATATGCTCAAGTTGAAAAAGAAGTTACTTTTCCTAATTTGGTAATGCATCTGCAAAGTTCAAGTCCACAAATACAGCAAAATGCTATTGCTTTGATTAACGCTTTATTTCTCAAAGCTGACACATCCAAACGAAGAGCTGTCTCTGCCACATTGCAATCAAAGCAAGTTCGAAACGTTTTTCTTACCAACATAATTAAATCTAGTGGACAGGTATGATGTAGTTATATTTTATATATTACTATTATATATATTTATTACCATTCTAATGGTTTCGGGTTGGTTTTAGGTTGGTACAGAAATGGCCCATCAACTGTATGTCCTACAAACACAGATTTTAAGCCTTTTAGAACAAAGAATGATGACTAAAATGGATCCACAAGATCAAGATGCGCATGAAAAAATAAAGGAACTTAGACGAATTGCATTTGACACGGAAGGTTGTATCGGAATAGATGTGGCTGCTCGCAAGCAAGGATTATACGCTAAAGATTATAAAAAATTAGGTTTTAAATATGATATTAATCCTGCTCTTGATTTTACCGAAACCCCCCCTGGTATGCTAGCGCTGGATTGTATGGTATATTTTGCTCGTAATCATATGGAAAATTATACGAAGGTTGTGTTAGAAAACTCTTGTCGTGCAGATGAACATGAATGCCCATTTGGTAGGACAAGCGTTGAACTTGTCAAATTATTGTGCGAGGTATATACAAAAAATTACATATTTGTATATATATATATATATATATTCGTAAGTGCTATTTTTATTTTATAACGATATAAATTATTTATTAAAATCTTCCGTTTTTAATTAGGTGTTACGTATTGGAGAAGCACCAAGTGAACAAGGACAATCGTACCATCCAATGTTTTTTACACATGATCATCCATTTGAAGAATTTTATTGCGTTTGTATAGTTTTGTTGAATAAAACATGGAAAGAAATGAGAGCTACTACTGAGGATTTCGTAAAAGTATTTTCCGTTGTAAGAGAGCAAATAACAAGAGCTCTTCTGTGCAAACCAACAGGACTAGATAAATTTAAAAGTAAATTACAACAGTTGACATATTCAATGATCACTAATCTTTGGCAACAAGAAAGAACTAGTCGTGAGGAGTGGGAAAGTCATGCAAGACCGATCGTTGAACTCAGAGAACAAATTACGCCTGAAATATTGGAGTTAATTCAACAACAACGTCTCGGATTTTTAGTAGAAGGAACTAGATTTATGAAATATAGCGCTAGAGGACAGGTAAATGATTTTTATTTGAAATTGACTTTATATTAAAGTAGAATAACGTTAAAGTCAATTTAATTTACGTTTATAAATTTATAGAGAATTAAGGATAAATTTTGGTACGTGCGTTTATCACCAAATCACAAAGTATTGCATTATGGAGACTGCGATGAAAAGTCAGTACCATCGATAGATGAATTACCAACTAAATTACCTATTGTTGAGATTCGGGGTTTAATAACTGGGAGAGACTGTCCTCATATGAAAGATTTACAGCGAAGAAAAACAACCCATCAATTAGCATTTTCCTTAATGTTGGATTCGGTGGAAGTTTCCAGTCTAGATTTTGTTGCACCTGACGAGCAAGTTTTTGATTATTGGACGGATGGCATTAATGCCTTACTTAGTAAATTTAAATTTCTATATTATTTAGCAATCTAGTGATGTATATATTACTTAATATTAAATAAATTTTTCTTATTGTTCTCATAGATCATAGAATGACCAGCAAGGAAGCTGAAAATGATTTGGAAACTTTATTATCTATGGATATTAAATTAAGACTTTTGGATGCAGAAGGAATTGACATACCTCAAAATCCACCGCCAATTCCTGAACCCCCACCAAATTATGATTTCTGTTACGAGTTAAAGTAATGTGGGCAATTAATACCTAATCTACATTCGATTAACTTAATATATTTATTGGTAACATGCATGCCAAATAACTGCCAGTAGTGAAATTGATGTTATTTAACGTAAGTAATCATTTTTATATATCTAATTAGATTATATTTATTCATTTTAACAAGGCTTTTATTCGTATTACGATTTTTATAACAGAATACCAAAAATATTATTACCATTTTTTATATAGATAAGTTTATACACGTATTTTTACAAATTTGTAATATATAAGGTAATCGTTTTATTTTAATACAGTAAAACACACACATTCGTAAAATAAGAGCGAAGTTTATTATTATTATTATTATTATTATTATTATTATTATTATTAGTATTATTTACAGTAATGTTTCATTATACAAATTAAAACGATAATATCCTGTATATTACATATTGTGCGTATAGTAGATTATTGCTTTACTAAAAATTATATAGAGGCCTTTTTAAACTTTTTAATTGAATTCATGTTTAAGGAAAATTCGATTTTTCTGTAATACATTTATCGTGAACCGTGTTTTATAGATTTTATTATACAAATACTTGATACTATTTTGTAATAAATATATTTATGATCACAAGTATATATATATATTTATAGATATACATAATTGTAATAAACTATACAATTGTATTTAAAGAATAATTTATTAAAGCGCATCGAACAAATGTTTGAATTGATGCAGTAAAAAAAAATGTTATTAGCATAAACGTGTAATATAAATATGGCGGTGTTATTATAAATACGAGTACGTGAAAAGTTCAAAAAGGCAGAGATTTTGGATTAAATAATTACATCTGTTAGATTTGCATACAAAGTGTAGTTTACAAATGACATTACATAACATCTTCAGTAAGAATTTGATAATTCTGAGGATCATTTATTCGATGATCAGAAGGACAAAGGAAGAATTCAATGAAATTAAGTACAGGACCTCTGCTAAATGGATTTAGATATCTACCTTTCTTATCTCTTAAATACGGATATCTCTTATAATTAAACATTTCGTTAGTCGTTAGGTTCATACAAGCGTGAAGTACCTGTATTAAAACAAAAAGATAAATAATTATTTTTTTCAAATTAAATGAAAAGGTATTGTTCAAAAATCAGAGATTTATATTATATTTACCGAAGTGCACGTTAATATCCATCCAAGGCCACAAAAGACTAGTGCTTCTAATACACCCAAGACATATAACAATTGGATGCCTTCGATAGCCATACAATAGCACGCAAAGTACAACGTAAATGAACAATTTATCGCCACACACATTACAAATAAGAAAAACCACATTCTGGAACAGATATATCTCGATGCGGAAAGACATATAAATTAGCATTTGTTAGCAGTATAAATTAACTCACCTGTTTCTTAATCCAACACAGTTATATATGAAAGGACAATGATGATCAAAACAAGTGACACATCTGTTGCAAATTCTACAATGTTTAGCTCTTAACGGTCTGAAACATCTGCAACTGTGACACAAACGCGATAATAAAACATTTCTTTTCTTCCATTTATCAAAATACGGTATCTAAAAAAAGAAAATACAGAAGAAAAAATATTCAAATTAGAATTATCTTCAATGAAATGAAGATTCCAATTAATTTAAATGGAAATTTTTCATGAATAAATTACCTGCTTTATAGCCCTATAATAAGTTTCACTATTTTGTGGTACATAACCAGGATCTCTTCTGTTAGCTACTATCCATGAAATCCACATGACGATATTCCAATAAATAAAACAATAATGACTTCCTCGCAAAAGATTCCAAGTCAATGGAATGCATTTAAGTAAATACATAGGATAACCCCATAGTAAAACTGATATCATGAACAATAATAATGGTCCTTTACTATTACCAGCTCCTCCAAATAATAATGCCCTATCAAAACGTTATAGATTGTTGATAGAAATTCGTCGAGTTTATTTTAGATAGATATAACAAAAAAGAAAAGAATAACGAAAATTTACGAACCAGAGTTCATTGATCGGTGGAATCCATCTAGCTCTGCGCTTTTGTTCAGCTTGTAATATGCGTACGATTTCTGAATGACGATGACTCTTAGCCAATTGTAATGGAGTTTTACCATTTTTATCTCGTGGCTCCAATTCGATCTTACTCTTTTCGCACAATATCTTAACGCAACTAATATTTCCCGATAGACAAGCTAAATGTAGAGGAGTAGATCCGAAATAATCGGGTTTCTGCAAATCGACGCCGCTGTAAATCAAAAGTCTTATTAATTCGGCGTGTCCTTTATAAGCTGCCCAATGAAGTGCGGTGTCTCCATTGATATCCGTTAGATGACCCATAGCACCAGATCCAAGAAGAAAGGCGGCCGTAGCAAATTTTCCAAACATACAGGCTGTCATTAGAGGAGTCAAACCTTTAAAATCGGCAGCATTGACGGCGACCCCGGCCTAAAAGTAAATTCAAATTGTTACAAGAAAATAACGTTGTTCTGATACGATTGTCTTTACCTTTAATAATAATTGCACTATAGCACTGTGACCCTTTCTACATGCCCAATGTATAGGCCTGGGACCCTGCGTTCCTAGACAAGAATGGTCAATTGGTCCGCTCCGTTCTATAAGATATCTCATCACCTGTTTGCATTATCGTTTATATTAAATCTTGTTCAGACTATAAAATATTATCAAGGACAATGTAGATATTATTTCACGTACTTCGATGTTACCATCCAAAGCAGCCCAATGAGCAGGTGTATATCCCCATTCATCTCGGACATTTAATATGCTCAATCCATTTTTCTCTACCAATTCCTCGACTGCTTCTACCTCACTGTAACACAAACATTTCAATAAAGTATCTCTTCCTGATTGTTATATCGATGAATATAATATATTACACACTGTAAAAGATCGTTCTTTATACGGTAATTACAATGAACAATAAATAACAAATTATAATAAATTTGTAAAATTATAATCACCTTGCTCTAAGAAGATCAAAAATTTGTTTAGTTTCATCGCTTGGACTTTGGCCTGGCGCCGCCTCGGCATATATATTATCATCCGGTCCATTGCTGTCCCTTCGATTAGTATTTTTATCAGAATTTTGATTCTGGTGAGTCCCACCCGAAAGCAGATTGCTGGGTAGATGCCCGACCATGTCGGGATCGGGACTTAATTCCCATACGGATCTTGCCGCACCAGGCCCTGTTACAGGGCTCACAGGATAGACCTGTACGTATTTTTTCTAATCAATTTTATTATTTATTTTTTATAACAATCTCGTATAAGAAAAAACAAATAATTTAGACCTGTCAATTAGTATTTATTCATTTATTTCTTTTCTTTTTACCTTACACAGCGTCGCGAGTTCCGTGTTCAGTCGATCGTGTTCGGAAGGTGTTCGCAAAGTTGCACCTTGCGTGGACGTGGAGGATACACCACCACCCTCCGGTACGGTTAGTCACAATGACACATTGGGACCGACCATATTTTATATTTTATTCTTTTTTCTTTTTCTTAATTACTTGTGTACTAACACTTATTACACTTCGAGCTTTTATCTTTTATTCTTTTTCTTCACGTTTCTTTTTTAACATATATTGCCTAGTGTAAGTATAATTGATAGAGAAATAGAACTTCGACTAGACTCCCGTCATACTAATGCAACCTAATCTTTCCAGGAGTAAGTTACCTTCGTTGTTGCGCATTCGAATCAATAGCGTCGCGTCGAATGGACGCCTGCGTCTTTCGATGAAACACGCAAACCTGATGTATTCCTAATACCTTTTTTCAAAATATTCTTCTTCAAATTTATCATCGATTTTGGAAGGACGCACAGTCCTTTTGGTATCTTCTGAATTCAATTGTCTTATCCGATTAAGATAATCGGCCGATTGAAATGCATAAAGTTCTTGGATTATAAACTTAAGTTGTGGCACCATTTTTGTTACAGTTTGAAAAAGTTTGACAAATTGTATTCCAACAATTAGATTGTAAATGCAGATGACGCGTGAAAAATGATCTTTTGTTTAAAATAGAGGGGATCATTCATGTTCGTGACATTTGAGAATTAATTGAATTTATAGAAGAAAATTGACATTTGAAAAATAATTATTGAAAATATTATTCCAATTGATACTCGCGCATATTACATTATTCATTTTGTTGAAAGAAATGAAGTATAAACTAAAAATGATTTATCAAAGGTGGTGAATTTAAATGAAACACATTTTTTTGTATCGATCGAACGTTGGTCATAGCGTAACGAAGGGTTAGTCATACCCTAAACACCTGTACCTTAGCTATAAAACTCACATGTGTTCTAGATATTTAGTATTATAGTTGAACAAGACATCGTCGTGCAAGCATCGTCGGTATTCTTTACATTCGTTAAACCATTTGCAAGAAATTCGAGATTATATACAGAGAATATAAATATACGTATATACAAGTATATATATACAATATGTAAACGTAGCGCGTGAAATTTAAATATCAGAATAATATTATCGAGTTGGATAAGACTTGTTTTTTACACGAGAATAAAATTTATAATTTTATTTGTTCTTTTTGTATCAATAATTCTTTACTTATAAGAATATCATTTATATTTTTTATTTTAGCTAACGTATAAATTTATTCAATTAGATAAAGTTTTAAATTTGATTGCTTTAAAAATTCCCCCCTCCAAAAAAAAGTATCTTAAAACGATCGAAGTTTTCAAGATAAATCAAAAATTCGATATGTTTGTACAATAATTCCAATAAAAAATCATTAAATAAATACTTTGATTGATCTACTTGTAAATTAAGAAACGAGATATATAAAATACGTAAGAAATATTTCCATATAATATTCGAGAAGAGAATAGTCACGTTGGGGGTAAATTCTATATCTAACATACCCGTATCTTCTAAACTTATCCTATAACACTTTACTGTAGACAAAAATGATAAACTTGTTACAAAAAAAATTTGAAAAAGGAGGAGGTACTTCGTAGATAAAGATTATACGACATTAGCAGCGCTTTATTTGTTGGAATAAGTGAGACTTTCGAAGAGATCGAAAGACGCGCGCTTGAAGAACCAAGATCTTTTGTGATTGTGTCGCCCTCGTGATTATTATAACACAACGTTTGCTTCGACCAAAGTTTACTGAAGCGTTTACAAGTGTACATATATATACATATACATATACATATTTAACTCTATTTCTTTCATCTTTGTTGGTATATTTGCGCGTGTTGCATGTATACACGCGCGCGCGCACGCACCAAGTTAACTCTCGCCCTCTTTTCGTCTCCTGGGCGCGTGTATTTATAAACGTGAAATGGTGAAATGGCACGAGCACTCAACTGCTTACGATATCTTCTAATCGTTGGTACCGTCGTTCTTGGCGTAAGTTATATGCTCCTTCCTAGATCGTTTTTTGTCCTATTTTTTAATCTTTTTTTTTTCTTTTCACATATATTGTATTTAGTTAAAATAATTTATATTGCGATGCGTCCTTTGACGTTCCTTCTCTTCTCGATACTTCATTACTTTTTTTTTTAATCCTCTAATCTTCTTTTTACCAATATTTTTCTTACTAATATACGCATATATTTGCATACATACATATATATGTATTTGTAAGAAATAATATTTGAAAATAAACGAGACTAAAAATAGCTATGAAATAATAATTGTTATTTTTATGTTGTTAATATTGTAATCAGTTATTTTAATAGAATTAATATTTGAAATATGTAGAAGATTTGAATTATTTGTAGTAGAAAATTGTTTCAAGATCAAAATCACATCGATCGATTAATGAATTATTCTATCGGAATTCTTTGCTTCGTCAATCGTTGTTATTTAAACTCGTTGTTATTTAAACTCGTTGGTTTTAACTTTTCATTTATTTTTTGATCGATTTATTAATATTTATTTCTCCTAACGTTGGTCTATACCGTTTATTATTTTGATACGCTTTTCGTTGTAAATTTCGTGCTCGCGATGTTTGAAACGTTTCGATTCTCTGATTTTTATTGAGGCAAATTATTTTTATCTACGTTCTATTTTATTGACATGAGATTTATCTAATCCCAAAGAAATGTAATATATCTGTAAATAATTGATATCGCTAACAATAAGTGTTACTACAAGAAAATATATCTTATCATTGTTAGAAGTTTCAGATAATCATTGAGTCATACTTTTAAAACGTACATTTTCTTAATTTTTTTTTTTATTTTCACAGAAAAAAAACTACGTAGTTTTATCTATCATATACTCTAAGATCTCATATCCGGTAATATTTATTTTCAGATTTCAGGAATAGTAGCTTCAACCTTCGCTGGATTTTTTTTATATCAGTTAGCCGAATACAAACAACTCACACCTGACAATGTTTACGGTCCATCAATTACTCTTTTGGTTTTGGGTTTATTCACATGTGCCGTTGGTTGGTTGTCATGGCATTTTCTCGAATTTACGCAAAAGAGTCAAGTGATACTAGTAAGCAAAATAATCAATTGATCTAAATACGGATCCTTCGTTTATTGATTTTAAAAAGAAAAATTGTTATTACAATAAACTGTTTGATCTTTAGTTTGTTACAAGTTTGGCGATAATTGGTATATTAGAAACGACTGCTGGAATATGGGCACTTGTCAGACACGAACAAATAGATTTCCTTCCGGCTACACGTCTTAGAACAGTATTTGTAGCTAAAGACAATGAACAATTATGGGAACACGTACAAACTAAGGTAAATGTATACGTCATTATTGGAATATTATAAATTCTTTTATTATTTTTTTAATTTAATATTTATATATATAGTTTTTTATATTAATAAATGTATTAAACGGCATTTTATCTTCTCTTTACGCCAAGAATTTTAGTATATATGTATTTTACATTTTTATTTTGATAAGTTCACATGCGTTATTGTTTTTTTTTGTAAGAGATATGCCATTATGACAATGAATCAATAATTATCCTCAACGTAATGATATTTTTCTATGTATTGATTTTACTCTGAAACGCCCACGCATTGATATTGCCGTAATTAATATTAACTTTTATTTAATACTGTAAATAGCATCAACTAATTTTATTTAACTTGTAAATTTTCTATTTTCTTTTTATACATTATGAAATTTCTTGCTTATTTTCATTAAAAAATCATTTATGAAGTCATTATCTTGCTAAAGATAAATTCATATCTATATTCAAAATATATTTATACGTATAATTAGTGTTAATTAACATGTAATATTATTATAGTTTCAATGTTGCGGCATGGACGGACCAACCGATTACCGTGGGCAAAATTCGGTTCCGTGGTCTTGTTGCGATACATTAGTGTCTCTAAAGTCAAACAACGATAAATCCACTTGTACTTCCATGTATGCCAGAGGCTGCCATCATGTTATGATAAGTCGTGCGAGATCGATTTTATTACATGTGTTTTTACTCGGTCTCGGTGGATTATTATTGAAAGTAAATGAAATTCACTTTCATTCACGCGAATTTATCATCAAACGTTATATTTATATTAATCGATATTAATGAAAATAATTCATTTCATTTATTTATTTTTTTATTTTTAGATTTGTTTAATAATATGTTCAGCATGTTATGTGAAAGCATTTACGGATAGGATAGAAAGAAGAAGGCAAGATGCGTTGACACGCAGAATATCCTCCCAAGTGATATATCAACCAGATAATAATTCAAAGCTTCTGAATCGACAATCGTCATTAAACGAAACGTAGTTTATTGTTTTAAAAATAAATAACTCAATATTGTGTTCGATGAAATTAATGAAAGTAAGTAGATACATATGTTCGATTGATCGTTTTTGGCAAACGGATTATGTCGAGATTTTATCATGCGATCGATTTTCTCAATGATAAGATATTGTTCAAAAAATATGACTAAAAGTGACTCATCAGAAGGGTACTAATATGACGTAACGTTATGAAAATAATAAGGAAACCATTTACAAAATAGAACATATTTTCTATGACATCAATGAGATTTCTTATCTTGTTTACTTGATAAATTAACATACTTTTATATTACTTTTAATTATTAGAAAATAATTTGCTAGAGAAAATAGGTTTTATTATCTTTATAAATAAATCTCTGTATAAGAATATTTTGCGATACAATTATAGGAAATTATAATAAAGGACAATAAAAAAGGGAATATCGTTTGTATATTTAACGTTTGTTGCTCGTTATTCTAAAAACAATGAAAATCTTTTATATACAAATTATTTATTAGATCATAAAACATAGAATAATGTGCTTTTTTTTGTATGTATGTTTGATAAAACGTCGTGATTGTATCATTTGAATACGGACAACGTATTTATATTTCAGAATTGTATTTTGTTTTCCTTCAAATTAATAGAAATTCGCGACACAGTTTGCGCACCACTGCTTTAGAGGACATAGATGTAAACGTAGTTACTTAATACATATATATAAATGTCTATATATGTACACCATCGGTACTATTCGTGCTATGTCCTTGCATAAGAAAGTACATATGTATAATCCTAAATGATCTGAACAAAAATAATTTCGTTGAATTTTATATTATATTCACAATATTATATATACGAAATTATTATTAAATTTGTAATAATATTAATTTTTATATAAACGCGTTGAACCATCATATTTTGTTAAAACTAAAGAAGAAAGATAACATGATTAAAATAATGTAATTGAAAATATATTTAAAAAATGTGTATAATTATATATTACATATTATAAATTAGCATCGACCGACGGAAAACAAATATTATCAACGAAGAAAGAAAAATTATGATAAAAATATGAATCAAAACCGTGCGTGTAAATTTTCAGTATAAGTCAGGAAATAAAATAATAGTATCTGCTGATAACTTGAGAGAACAAACAAATGTTACGAGACGGGCGACAACGTGAGTCATACATTAAGAAGAGAAACAGAGAAAGAAAGAGTGTGCATATGTGTGCGTATGTGTACGAGAGAGAGAGAGGGAGAAGGGAGAGATGGGATAAAGGAAAGAGTGGGGGTACCTGTACGTAAACGAACAGTCCAAGATCAGAGAATAGAGCTAACGGTAGTGCAGTTAAATTTCAATCGTCGTGTTCAGTGGTAGGCTGTTTTGTGCGCTCGCGCATCACGAAATAACCTGTTGAATTTATTTCATTTGGTAAACACTTACGGTGTGTTAAGTGATTGATATTTTTCTTGTTCAGAATACATAGGAAACATTCAAGATGGGTTGCGGACTGGGATTAATAAAATATCTCCTATTTATATTTAATTTCATTTTCGCAGTACGTACATTTATATCTTTACAAATTTATTTTGAAACAATCAATAAATATATACAAATGTAATATATATGTAATATAACATTATATATATATACATACGAGTTGGTTGAAAAGTTTTGGGTCTAACAATAGACGCCACTTTCTTTTTTCATTTTGTTTTTTTTGTTCAATCACAATTTTATTTTTCCTACATAGTATCTTGAAACTTTTATAAAATGTGTATAAAGTTTAATGCAATTATTTTTAAATTAAAGATTCTTATTTTAAAATCTTGGCAGTGGTTAAAAACGTGCAAGAAAGAGTTACGAAGTTAAACGAGTTAATCTACGACTGAATGTATCTAATCTATATATAAGGAGGATATAAGAACAGAATAAAAATATCTTATCGCGAACGTTATCTTAAACATCATCAAATGTATTTAAGAATAGCATTCTTTTATTTTTTTATTTGTCCTTTTTTTTCTTCTCAATTGTTAGAAACGTCATTCGTAAGAAGGTACACGAATTTAATTTAATCGAATATTTAGATATGTGTATATATATATAATTTTTTACATTACAGTTTCATTGGTTCTTATCCGCCTATGACGCATATTATTTTACGTCTCGGAAGTTTAGAAAAGGAAAGAAAAAGGAAATCAAACGCAAATTTCCTGTTACGATTAGTTATTGCGACTCTTAAACAGCGATAAAACGTCGTTTAGTTAACGAATTCTTTCGTTTAACTCTAAATGAATTGTTTGAGTTTTTTCTTTATTTCTTTTTTTTTTTTTTTTTTTTTTTTTTTTAATCTATTCCTTACGCGTTTTGCTTTTCTTCATAGATAAATAGCAATAGAAATAGTTAAGTACCTGTCTCGTTATGAATTATTGCGAAAAAGGAAGTACGCAATGAAAGAAAATTAGATAATAATTTGCGTAGGTGTTCGTTATAAACGAACGTTAATAAAACAAGATGGTGAATAAAACGATCGTTGTTTAAAGCGAATTATTTTGGGGGATTTTCGTGTATTTCCTTAAGAAGAAGCGTATTACATTTAAATCTTACGTTCGAGTAAATTTAAAATTCTTGCAGAAAAAACATAATATGACATAATCGTCATCATTATAATTATTATAATTATTATTATCATTATCATCATCATCATCATAATCATCACCGTCGTCGTCGTCGTAGTTTCCTTTTATTACGAGTAATACGTAATAATGATTGTTATTAAAATGAATAATTTGTGAGACCTTACTCAAAAGTTTACTGGAAATCAAAATGTTAAGAAAAGATCGAATTTCGTAGAAGAAGTATGATATCATCATCCTCGTTTTCCTTTCTCTTTGATATTTTTGTACCATGTTATCGTTACTTCTTTGAACACTCCTATACGATAAGTATTGTATTCATGTATGATATGTTTACCGAATGAAATCTTAAATATTAGAAAGTTATAATGAATTTTATTCTTTTATCGATGAATTCGGAAAAATTTTTAAGTATCAATATGAATTCTGATAATAATCTGATATAAACATCAGATAACGATTATTAATTATAAACGAAAAATGTATCTATTATCTTTACTATCTATTTTTAGTGTTTTTCAATCATCTTTTTCAATCTGCTAGATTAGGGTCGCTATAGGAATATGGATTAAAAAATTTGGAACGTTATATTATTTCAATTTTTTAGCTCTCTTAGGTAATACAAATAATTATCTGTTGTGCCTTATATTTCAGTTGATTATTTTTATTTCATTTATCCCTTTATTCTACTTTGTTAGAAAAAATTAAAGAAATAATTGATATAATAATAGTAATAATAATATTAAATAAATAGGATAAATTTAATATGATTTAAAGTAAATTTAATTAAAAATAAATATCAGTTTCGATACGCGAGATGATCGAAAAGAAATAAAGTTGAAAAAGATTGAAAAGATATAAGAACATTCTATGATAACTTATTTATCATTCGTATTATCAATTAATCTTTTATACACAAGTTAATTACTTTTCTTGCTTTTGAAGTAAAGTGTAATAGCTATTATTTTGCGATTGATTAAAAATTGAATATAAATTGGTGGTTGAGAAACGCTGATATATATTATCTATATTATTAAAATGTGCTCTTCTCATTGGATACCATCAGATTGGTTACGTGATTCCAATGTTATTCGAAGTATTATAAAATTTTTAAATAGTACCGACGAATGCGAATAAACGAACGAACGAACAATCGACTGCAACATGCTTGGATACACCGGTAAAAAAACTCTTTCATGAAATTTCAAGGCCAAATAAAGTCCGCCCTAGCGCAAATACACCTGCGATAATCTCAATGTAAATTATTCCACACGTGAGGAGAAATAGATAGGTTTAGAATGCGAATAATATCGCGTTGCGTGTAAAGTTTCCAAGGATTTTTTCCCGATATTACAATACGATATCACTACAATTTTCTATTTTATCGCAATGGATGAACGCGATTGTGTTTTTTTTTTTGACGGCTAAAGATCGAGTAATGTTCAATTTTTTTCCTTTTTATATTTTCATTTTTAATTACTTTAAGATAAACACTTATAAATTTATTAGTTTAAGTAATTGCCGATGTATGTTTTTAAGGTGCAACCAAATGTTTTTTATTAAATACACTAATTGCATGTTCCGGGTTAATATTTTAATTTAATTCATTCTGGTGTTTTTGAAGGTTTTTTATATTCGCGTAATCATACCAAGACGCGCGTATGCTTGCACAAATAATATTTGTATAAAACTTTTTCTTTATTTACCTATTAGTTTTTTTTTTTGTTTTAATTGAATAAAGAAGCGTCACGTTAGAGGTGACTCAATAGTTCTAGAAAAAATTGTGTCGTCGTCGTGTGAGCGAGGATGACCTCATAATATAAAGTAAAACTTTTACTATCAGACCCCATTTGGGTATACGTGCACTTAATTGAGTAATATAAGGTAATAAAAATAGCAAACAGTTCTAATATAAATTATTCGAATATTATACCTGTGTCACCCACTGCATTTACAATTTTTGTCGTCAGTTTATATTTCTAAAAAAAAGATAAAGAAATACGATATATTTACGTGATTGGATTAAAAATTCTTTGCTTAATACATAAATAATTTCTAATAATATTAATTGACTACTTGTTAGATATAAATTAGTACATTTATGTGGACATTTATATAATACACATATTTGAATTTATTTGTTATACTCAAAGAACAATATTGATTGTTACAGTTATGTGGTCTAGCTATTCTCATAGTTGGTGTCCTCATGCACGTAAATATTAGCAATTACAAAGATGCCGTAGAAGAAAATATTTCTTTCCCTTCGGTGACGTTCATCGTCATTGGCAGCATTATTTTTGTAATTGCATTCTTCGGATGCTGCGGCGCTATACGTGAAAGTCATTGCATGACCATAACCGTGAGTATTACATATATTAATGCTAAACATATCCATGATTGGTTTTAAATACAATTTGACCTACTAATCTAATGTCTACGCTACTTGTATTTTTATATAGCTTAATCGATCTGTTACTTTTCAATTTTAAATATACGGTTATTGCTTAACCTTGATCAGACTGTAAAAGTATGTTAAATCCAATTACTTATCAATATTGACAAAATTCGAAGCTCAGCCGTTAAGATCTAGATCAACCGGTTAGAATGATTTATACTCTTCCAAATTGCCAATTCTCTAACAGTATTCAATCAAATCTTTATATATTAGATTCTAATAAGACGACATATATATCTTTACAATGTATTCATTTCAGTTTGCATCGTTCCTGCTTACGATATTTATAATACAAATTGCCGTTGCGATTTACGCATTTGTCGTCTTCAAAGATTCTAATATAAATGTTAAGAATTCGTACGCAGAATTATTCAACAAATATTGGACTTCTAACACGAGTCAAGAAATTATAGACGTCATTCAGAAGAACGTAAGTATAACAATGTTTAATCAATTTTTCTAAACGTATCGGATATTTTTTTTTTATTTACAATCAACAACAAAATTCGAAAGAGATTAATTGTTCCATAAGTTTTAATATAGTTTTCATTATAATTAATTAGTTGAATTATCTTCTTTCTGTTAAATTTAATTTTCTATTATTTATCGGATGATGCGATAATGTTTGCACTTAATTTGATTAGGTTCTGTATCATATGGGACTTTTTTTAAATCTTTATATCATGTTAGAGTAAAATATGTATTCTTGAATCGTATTAAAGTGTTAATAAGATATCATGTACTGTAAGGGTATCCTGTAATACGGGGATATTAGTTGTACATAAATTTATGTATAATACATATATATTTATCTTTATTTCGTTTTGTAGTTGCAATGTTGTGGTATCGATTCAAAAGATGATTACGATAGAATTAATTCTAATAAGACTATACCTTGGAGCTGTTGCAATGACGTAGATATGTACTCACAATGTCCAAGAGAACAGGCCTTCAAACATGGATGTGCCAATGCTGTAAAAGATTTCCTTGTTTATGCTGGTGTAGTATTGGGTGGTGTTGCAATCGGTATAGCCGTAGTCGAGGTGAGTTTACCGATTTTTTTTTCAATTTTTCTTTTTCTTTTTCTTTTTCTTAGAATTCTTTTCAATGTATTTAATATTTACTGTGTATACTCTTTTTAAAATCAAACGAAGGGAGAAACCCAATGGATTTCTTAATTGATTTTCTTTTTTTATTTGCAGCTGATCGGTATTATATTCGCACTATGCCTAGCAAATTCGATAAAGAATTCCGAAAGAAGAGGTTACAGGGTATAAGAGACAATAACAACAATTTAAGAGTATTATTTTTCTTGTTTATAATATATCTATTTCTTTTTGTTTTCTTTTTTTTTCTTCCTTTTTTTTTTTATTATCCTATAACTACATAGCATATAAAAATTAACGATGAAATTAATTTTGATAATTGGAAGCAATATTCGTTCTTTTCTTTTTTACAAACACGAAATGCGTGTTTGTTGTTTTCTAGCTTCTAAAAATTTTATAGATTGGAAAGGCAACTTAATTGCGTAAATTAAACTATATACGTGTTTATGTATTATTTTCTTTTTTTTTCTTTTTAATTTTTTTGTGTTATCGTTTGGAAACCAGTATTTTTTGTGATAGTTTTACGAGATGCTTAGGGAAAAAAAGAAAGCCACAAAATTTAAATGACGAGAAAAAAGAGACACATTGCAGAAAAAAAAATATATATATAATATTTTGTCGATACGATCCGTGACATTTGTAACTGCAAACGATGAAAAAGTTTAAAGTATTTTATTTTATATATATATATATATATATATATAATAATAACAAAAAAAAAAATAATAAATTAAATTATAAGAGAGATAATTACTTTCATCAAATTGCATAATATTAACTGACTGGAGAAATATAAATATACGTATTATTATATTTACAAATCAACGAATTAAATGGAGATTTAGTGTCGTTGACGAGTTTATAAATTAATTTTATTTTTTGTACAATAAGGAGATTGATTTATGATTTGATGAACGCATTATTCTACGCACAAGTAAATTTATTTTCATAAAATTACTCTTATCGACAAACAAATTTTTCCCTTTTTTTTCCTGATGAAAATAAAAGCCTGTTTTAGCGAAATAATCGATTTCCAAGATTTTTCAGATGAGAGCTTAATTTTACAGTACATTTACTGAAATGAAATTTCTCGTGAAATGAATTTATTCCTTATACACCGTAACCATGAAGGAATATTAAATTTTCACAAACATTGATAAACAACTTTTTATTATTTTTTTTTTTATTTTTTTTAGGAAAGGAATAAAGATTCCTTTCAAATGATTTCTTACCGTTATTCAACTTATACTAATTGTTAAACTCTTACATTATCATACACAATCGTGTATTGTCCAATGTAAGAAATTTGATAAACAATCGATAAAATATTTTTTCATAAAATCAAATTTAGCCAGTTACGCTTTTTCTTTTTTTTTACAGGATCGACTGAAAATATGTTTAATGAAAAATAGTTTGAGGAAAAAATATGCACTCAAATTAATAGTCATAATCGTATATCATTCTTATATTGTCATAATTTATTAAGATTAAGGGAGGATAACTTACATCCGTTGTACTATAATACATTACTATTTACAACGTAAAGTCGGGCTTGCGTTCATCGCCTCCCTCAGCTCTCTCTCTCTCTCTCTCTCTCTCTCTCTCTCTCTCTCTCTCTCTCTCTCTCGCTCTTTCTCTCAAACACGCATACAAATACGCGCATGTGAACTCATTCTCTTTCTCTCTCTCTCTCTCTCTCTCTCTCTCTCGCTCGCTGTATCATTTCTGTCTTATCTTGTAATGACAGTAACGAACAGAGTTTACAAATATCTTACAACTATATCCGAAAAATGATTAATTTTTGTAGACTGCAAGGACAAAAAAGTATTTGTTCTTTTCTATTTATTCGCTCGTTGCTAGCGCCGTGTTATATTTAATCCTTGATTATTGAATTAATTGAAATGTTTTGCGCAACGATGTTATATATACGTATATAATACTTCTCTAATTTTTTTTTTTTCGTCTTATTAGCATCGATTGAAATTTATTTCGACGTTTTTATTTGTCTTTTAAATTCGTTAATAATTTATTCAAATTACTTCTCGTTGAATTTATATTTTTCACGATTAAATTTGTAACGATAGCTCTCTCGATCGCTATTATGAATAACATTTTCTATAATGATTTTATATTTTAATTCTTTCTGTTCTTTTTTCTTTTTTTTTTCTTTTTCTTTTTCTGCCAAAGACGAGAAATTTCGAGAAAGAAAAAGATTGTAATTAAACTTTCCAGCCGTGCAGTCTTTTCTACTTGATTGATCTTTTACTTTTTCTTTTTTTTTTTTTCTTTCTTCCTTTCGAATTATTCAAAATACCAAGTGACGTTCGTATTCGATGTGTGTATCTCTAACGTGTAAAATAGGTATCTTGGTTTTCTATGGACTCGTTATTATTTAACTACGTCATACATACTAATCATGTTATTTCCTAGTAATTTGACCAAATGTTTGACTTTTAATTAATTGTTTCTCTTCTTCTCTCTCTTTCTCTGTCTCTCTCTTTCTCTGTCTCTCTCTTTTCGATGATCTATAACAGCGGTTTTTCAAACTACGATAATACGTGCTCGGTGTTTAAAAATGTTTTCAATTAACAAAATTTGCAGATTTTAAATTATATAATTTAATTCATCAGCAAGAATCGATTATTAATTAATTATTTTATTAAATTATTTTTTATTTTTATTTTTGTCGTAACAAAAAAAAAACGGCATTTTGTATAAAAATTAAATTGAAACTTTAGCACAACACACACTTTGCGATAAATAATATTTTTCTTACCGCACAATCGAAAACTGTTGAACTATTTATTTATATAAGCGTTGTTATAATTTCGTTCATTCGATATTTTCTAGAATACATCACGATCTTTTTTTAGCTACATCTAATCACCGATAATTCGGGGAACAAAGCGCTAATCCCACTACTTCTTTCAAATCTATTCTTATGTTACATAATGTTTGGAAGCAAACTATACAGGTTTCTTTTTATCTTTCCAATATCTCTTCGTTTTAAAAGTATCGAACGATAAAGTAGTCACTTGTTCGACGATCGATCGATCTTATTATTGTTAAAACGAATGATGGAGTACAGACAGCGACAAAAATTCATCATTCACTTCGCGAGTTAATGTTTTTTTTTCTTTAGAGAAAGATCGACGGATTTAAAAGATTCAAGAATATTTTTCCTTTCCGTTCTCTTTTGTTTCCTTTTTATTTTTATTTTTATATATTTATTATTATTTTTTTTTTGTTAATCAGATAAAGGATAGATAAGGACGTTGCAAGACGGGTTCTTGATTATTTGTTCTTATCTTTTTTTTTTCTCTCTCTCTCTCTCTCTTAATTAATTTTTTTTTTTTTCTTTAAACTTTTGCTTCAATAAATATCATCGACGTATATAGAATGGACTGCTGTTCTCTATCGCTAAATTATGGAACTTTAAAGGACAAAGAGACATCGATTGTGTCTCTGTCTAGTCCAATGTGATTGGTAATTGAGCCAATAACGTCTGACGTATACAGCAGGATTGTTCATTTGTTCGTCAATAATTATTAAATATATCCAATATATATATATGTATAAATTAACGATAAAATATCAAACACTTTAGTTTAAAGGTATCATCGAAAGATTTCGATTAACCCTTTGAGCTTTGAATACTTCCTGTATAAGTTTTATGTATGAACTATGTGCGTCCTAGCGATTGCAATCGATTTCGAATGGAATATACCGAGTACAATTAACAATAAATTATTATGACATTTTTTTGCATCAAATAAATATATATATATATATATATATTTTATTGTTTAATTGTGTATAATCAAAAATCGACTATAATTAATAGTTTATTTAAAAGGAATACTCAAGTATTCATTTTATTTAAGAAAAAAAAACTGTTAGACAGAAATATGAGTTCATAGTCCACATCAAGAGCTTTTGCTGAACGCATATGTGCATCCAAATCGATCTTCGCTTATAGTTTTTTAATGATTATATATGTGTACGGGCCCTGAGTTAGACGGATGGTTCTACTAATGTATTCAAGTATATATACTTCGACGATTTAACTAATAAGAGTAAATTTAAATTCGTTAAATGATCTAAGAATGAACAACACGTGCATCCATAGAACTGCTCAAAGGGTTTAACAAAAACCGATCTTCGCTTATGGTTTTTTAATGATTATATATGTGTGTGTACGGGCCCTGAGTAAGAAGGATGGTTTTACTAATGTATTCAAGTATACAAGTTTATATACTTCGACGATTTAACTAATAAGAGTAAATTTCAATTCGTTAAATGATCTAAGAATGAACAACACGTCATGGCCATAAGAAAGAAGAAGAAGAAAGATAATTCCATGAGGAGAAGTTGCGCATAGTCAATTTTATATGACGAGCTTTTAAAAGATGTTTGAATGAAGACTAATCTTTTATAAGAAGAAGAAGAAGAAGAAGAAGAAGAAGAAGAAGAAGAGAGCTCTGAATGGTTCTTTCGAGCACCGATAATAAACGCATTCGTAAATCCTATTGCAGGTATTTCGAATCGAACTTTGTAAATCGTTGAGTACGATTTGTAGGTACTTAACGTTGGAACAGCGACTACGATAATAACAAGGACTCGTCTTTTTTTTGTTTTGTTTAATATTATTATTATTATTAATTATATTATTATTAATATTATTATTATTATTATTATTATTATTCGATAGAAACTTTGATTTTCGTTCTCTTATTCCTATTGATTATCGTACACACATATACGCATCGTTGGAAACTTTCTACTTCTCTCTTTTTTTCTTTTTTTCTTTTTTTTTTTTTTTTAATTCTTCTACGAAGAAAAATCCCAATATGTCGATTTCTAAGTACGTTGACCAATGGGCGACGTTCCTATGTATGTATTTACTTTTTTTTTCGATTTTTTTTTTATTTTTTTTTTTTAATTTTAAGTAAGTAAGTACTTATAGTTTTAAAACCTACCGGGATATCCTACCATGTATCCTTATCAACGCGTTTTCTAAACGCTTCTAATAGGTACTTACGTTATACGTGTATTTGTTTCACATATATCTATATATATTGTTTTCTCTGTATTTTTTTTTTTTTTGTTCTTTTAATTCCTCATTTTATAATTTATCTTTTTGTTTTCCCCTCATATGAATCCGGAAGCAATAATTCTATTCTCTCGTACGTGGGGATGAGAGATGCTGCTTCTACTCACATATATTTTTAAAACGATTACGAGAGATCGTATTTTTACGGGATTATTTTTATACTTTTCACAAACAAATACACAATTATTGTGTTCTCACGTATGTGGTTTTTCTTTCATTTGTTTTTTTTTCTTGGTCTCTTAGAAAAGAGCGCTTATTAACAACCAGCAGTTCGAAAGAATATACACATACACACACACATGCATGCATACATACATTACACACAAATCATACGTAGATTGGTCCTATCATTCTTTACCTTTCATTCCTCTTTCTCTCTCTCTCTCTCTCTCTCTCAGTATATATCCCAGCAGCTCGTTGGACTAGGCACGAGATTTGAGGGGCGCGTACACGTTTCTTTTTGTTCATTTTTGTTTTTGTTTCTTTTTAGAGGAAAAATTAGATAAAATAACGCAGCACCACCACCACCACCAGGAGCACCACCTCTATATCTCTCGTGTTCTCGCGTCATAAAGCGTATAGTAGAAAAGTGGAAAATTCGTATCCTCGTTCTAAAGCGAATGTTCTTCCTCGTTGAGGTGGTAGGGTTGTTTCGTCAATTCGTCGATTTCAAGGGAATTTGTTGTCGTCGTTGTCGTCAAAGTCATTGTAGTCGAAATTTGAAGAATTTTGTTGTCCAAATCGGCGGCGGGGGCGGGGGTGGGGGCAACAACAACAACGACATCCAATTTGTTGTCAGAACCACCACCACCACCGTGCTCGGATGCAACGTCGTCCGAGCATGCTGATGAGGATGGTACTATCTCGTCGAGAAAATCAAACGATGCCACTGCCTCGCGTTCCTTTTCCCCGTACCTCACGAAAAAGTCCTCGCCACGGTCGATTATGGACGGCCTTGAGGTTCCCCAGGTAGATGGTCTTAGGACGCGTTGTGCCTGTGCCGCTGATGCTGAGAAACCAAGCGCAGCGGGTCAACATGCCTCAGATAACTTCCACTCTTTTTGGCTCTTTTTACCTCCCTCTCATTCCCTCTCTATCTATCTCTCTCGCGTTCTCTCCCTCTCTCTCTCTCTCTCTCTCTCTCTCTCTCTCATTTTTTCACTCTCCCTCGCTCACTCTCTCTCTCTTCCTATACCGGTTTTATTGCGGACACAGAGTAGCTCGGCTTAGCACTCTTTTTTCATTTTTTGGATTATTATTTTTATCGATTTGTTTGTTTGTTTGTTCTTTTCTTTAGATTTTGGATTTTTCATATTTTTTTGTATGTTTGTTTCTTTTGCATATTACCTCTCCTTTCCCTCTATTTTATTTTTGTTTCACTTTTTGTTCCTCTCTCTCTCTCTCTCTCTCTCTCTCTCTCTCTCTCTTTCTCACTCTCTCTTTCTCCCTTATATTTCTTTTCAACCTTCTTCGCGTGTACCATTTTTTGTTAATAATTATATTTCCAATTAATTTCTCTTTTACGATTTACTTTTTACGAAGTTTAATCTCTTGGTCTAATATATAATATATTCACGCAATTATTATTATCATCCATATAATGAAGAATCAAAATTGAATTGTTTCATCGCAAGAGAGAAATTAGATCGAGTTTGTTTCTGATCCTTGACGCAATTCCAAAATTAAAGGAGAGAGTAAAGTCAATGATGATAAACGAAATAATGAAATATTTATGGTATGTACAAAATGATAGATATATAATTATACAAAATATACATATATTAACAATGAAAAATTGTATGTAGAATATTTAGATGGATACAAATGATTACGACATTTCATGGTTTTTTGCTCTAATTATCATTCTAATAATAATTTGATGGAATATCAATAATTCAGGTAATTCGGTTTGTGATAATAAATACAATTACTTACGATCGGATTAGCATTGATCCCTAATAAATTTATCTATAGTTATATTTTTTTTTTATTATATACCTATATATGTTGTATGGATAAATGTTAAATAGATAAAAAAAAAAGAAAAAAAAAACAACTTTTTTTTCGTCGAAAGAACAAAATGATATGTTGTTAAAAGGTGGAATTGCGTAAAGAATTATCTTTCGCGTTGCATCTTTCTCGTTACCCTCGTCATATCTGGTTAATAATTCTGTTAGTATAAGAGCCAATGTGGAGAGGTAGTAAACCAAACCCATTTTTCTAATCGTACAATTCCGTACAGTTCCGTACGCTGGATCGAATCAAAGTTGTTCTCGATGTAACACACATTATCCTTCCCGACTGGTTAGAGACGATTATAGAAATTGTTCGTCACTAAGCCGAACTACGTAGCTTTTCTTGTGACAATCAAAGCACACCGCGTAGGAGCTACCATCTGAACAGAAAATATGGAAAAAAACAAAGCTATGTACAGCGAGAGCTACTAGCGATTGTGTTAATTCGTGTATGCGACCGTATTAAACGTATACATATGGGAAGTATTTATTTTTGTGTGTGTGTGTGTGTGTGTTTAAGTAATAGTCGTGTGACATTTTGTTAAAGCTGCTTTTTTGTTTATTTGATGCAGATGAGATTGAACGATTCGTCGTTTAACATTTTTTTCAACACTCTTTGTAATTTAATTTTTTTTTGGTTTGGATTCGTAACGAAAAAATATTTCATCGTAAAATATATTTTTATTACAATATTGGAGATTCTTGATTTAAAGAAGTATCCATAGTTTACTTCGAAACGATTATGAAAATAATAAATGTTATAACATGTCATCCTCGTTGTGAATAATTTTTCTTCTTGAATTATCGAATTATTTGAAAACAATTAGATATGCATGTAACGTATCAAACTTCTTTTTTCATTTTTCAAATTAAATCAAACCGTCTCGATCTCATCTTGTTTATCGATAATGCATATATAATGTATATGTTACTGTCATAGCCGGAAATCTGCCATTGCTAGTAATTCCTTGGCATTCTCATCAATGCAAAGAGCATTCCGATGAAGTCGGAAACAGAAGAATTCTTACAGTTTTTTCCTAAGCATTGTGAACATAATACTTTGATATTCTATAGAATTTGTCAATTTCCAACTTCGTCTGAAGGCTCTTTGCATTCATAGTAATGTCGAGGAATTACTAGTAATGACTGATTTCCGGCTTTGACGGTAACATATACATAAATCGTTTACAAAGTTGTTAACATTTTTGTAAGGACGTTCCTTTGAGCGAGCATACGAAAGCATACGAAGCGTGAGCACGTTTCAGTTAAAAACAAAATCAAATTAATATTGACACGTTTAGAATGTAAAGGCATTTTTTTTTTCTTTTAGGTAATAGAAAATACAGCTGTGTTTAACGATTATCGATACTTGTTAAAAGATATTGATGACATTTTATATTTTATCGCGTTGTGTATTATATATATTTATAATTAATACCGAAACATCATAGTTGATAGTGTTTTATCACTAGGACATTTTGTATTATCAAAATAAGTTAGTAAATGAATTAAACACGAATCGATATAATTAATCCAAAAAAAAAAAGAATACTGTTAACAAAACTCAACACATTTATAAAATTCTATTAAGGAAGAATAGTATTTCATAGGACAGAAAAAGGAAACCAGCAACGTAAAGTCCACATTTTTGTGTTGATATAAAATATAGATGGATGATGTATTATTATGAAAATATTGTAAATTAGTATGTTTCACTTCGTGAGTTAGTGATCGATGCGGCCTTTTCATTATTTTCGAAAAACGAATATGGTCTTTCGTTTAAAAAAAAATGTACCACATTCCTGTCGCAAGATATTTAAAGTATTTTTTTTTTTTTCAATGAAAAGGTTTCATCGATAGATTTTTATTGTTTATAATTAATTATCGATATTATCGTTAAGCACATTTTTAATAGAAAATCGCAGCCTTCCATGAAATCAGTGTTAATAAGCGTTGAAAGTGAGTACGGCTCGTTGATACGAGTAGATAAAAGGTATTCGATGTCATCTTCAAAAATGATCGATTACTCATAGGTATATTTTTTGTTTGGTGAAGGTGCGATAGAACGACGAGATGAGCGGTAACGAGTAAGCGAAGTGAATATATATATTTTTTTTGTTTAAATAATCAAACGATACACGTGCTCGCGTTCGAGCGAGGGAAGGTATTTTAATTTTTATTCTTTTTTTTTCATTTCTGTTTTTCTTTATACTTTATGACAGTGGTGCGTTAATTATTTATATTTGCAATATTATATTTTCTCATTCATTCAATCTATAAACATATAGATTATTTTTAATCGAACAAATCGAATTACGTATAGAAATATTATTTTGACATTTTTTTTTTTTCGAAAGGTGCTCGTGAATTCAATTTAATCCTCTGTAACAAAACATTTCATTGTAACAAATTCCATCTTATTCGCAATTGCGAATTTTCTGTTACTTTTAAAGATGTTTTCTTTTTATTAATTATATTATAATAATATCATTAAATCAAATTGAATGTTTTTTTAAGGTAAAAATATCGCGTTATTCATTAAGTTTCGCACCACTGTTTTAACGAGAGACGATATGCAAGAAAAATAGTAGAAACGGAGAGACGCGTTTGAATCTTTAGGAAAAAATGATACCTTTCTTTTGTCGTCGGTAACGATGTAGCCTGTGTAAGTGTCGATAATCCGGTGGTTCATCCCCGGAATCGCTACCTGCGGAACCACTGCTCGAGGTTGCCGAAGAACTTTCGCTACTTGCTAACATCACGTCTAGAAGGTTTGCTCTGGCCTTCAAATGAAAGAAAATAAATACGTTTACGAGATTAAATGCATACATTCCAAATTCTAAACAGATAATATAATAATAATAATAATGACAATATATCAATAATTATCATGTAATAAATTTTAAACGTACTGCATCAAAAACTAACATCCATTTTATATAGAAAATACTTGTTTCTTTTCTTTCATCAAAAATTAGGTTTACTTTTGTATTACCCTTAATATTAGGTTGCTCGCGTAAAATTTGAAAACCCATTATTAAAAGAAGAGAAATGAAAATGTTCTACCTTAGGATCTGTGAAGTCGATATCACGTTCAACGTGAACCCAACCAGTTGGGCAGCAGCAAGCAAGATCCAATTTTTCGAGGGCTACCTGAGGGTCTTGACTGACCGTACTATCTTCCCCTTTTCTAATCATTCGATTTAATTCGTCGATAACGTCCTTCGACGTTGCTCGTTCGTGGAAGCTCAACGACCTATCCCTACCTTCGACCAAGAGTGGTGCTCTCGCAGGGCTAACCTGACGAAACGAAATGAACAAATCATTTTCTATATTCTGAGGATGGGTGGAACGTGTTAAAATGTCTATTGAAGATTTTGTTTTTTTTCTTTTGTTTTTTTTTTAACTTACAACCGTGCTAGGGGTCGAAGATGTTGCCGCTTCCTCATCTTCTTCGGGAACAGCAACCAATTCTGTGGGTGCTACCGTTGTATAACCTACAGCCCCTAAACTGTTAGACCCTATAACCCCGAGCATTCTATCTTCGGTTTGCAAAGGAGGTACTGCTATTTGTTCAAGCGGATCATCCTCGTTGTTGCTCACTTCGATTATATTTTCCGAATGAGCACTTTCCTGCGACGACGGAGATCTTTCCGTTTCTTTGATGGAAGCACCTTCGACGGTAGGACATTCGCTTCTATTTCCAGCATTTTCTGAAAATATTATCAAACGTAATATTTCATGTTTGAAAAAAGAAAGAAGAAAAAAAAAAAAGAAAACATCTTCCTTTCCGAAAAATTCTTTTACCGATACGGGTTCTTAAAATGATGATGAAACTGTGATAAATTAAAAATAATCGTATATTTGAGAATCATCTTGTTTTATTGATGTAGCAAAAACACGTTTTTGATATGACAATGAGACAAATAAAATTACGTACTTAAATAATTTACATATACAAGATTCTTATAACTAAGACGTAAATTAATAAAATGATCACAATATATATATATATATATATATAAATAAAATGTCGTATACATATATTCGGAAACTTATATGCATAGGAAATAAAAATACGTATTTGGAGATGTTTGAAAAACTTATCATCAGTATCACGTTGATTCAATAATTACCTTCGATCGAATGGGTCGTCGGTGGCCCTTGGGTATCGTTTTGTTCCGAAGAATTACTTGGTAATTCAGCCAAATACATTTGTTGTTCGGCTATGAAGGAAAGAACGCTTTGAAGGGCTTGTTCCCTATCGGTAGGTGGTTTCCCGCTTCTCGAGGAAGTACTCGCGAGACTTTTGGTACTTTCGAATTTAACCAATCTATAAAAGTCCCTGGTGAAATCGGTGCCGATCGAAGGTGAATCGGGATCATCGCTGCAACCGGATAGAGCAGCCGATGATCTTTTACTCGAATTTTCCATAACACCTTCTTCGCTACTCCAGGAAGCACCAGGGCTTGAAGCATAAGGCCAAGGTCCGGCAGTTCTCGTGTCCATCAATAGAGCAACCTGCAATCAATTTAAATAAATTTTTAATCATTTGCTTTTCTTTTACAATATTATATAGGCCGACCAATTAGTCATGGAATTGAGAATTGAATCGTTGAGAATAAAAAGTAATTATATGATTGTTGAACCCTTTTCCATCATAGTGCCAATTACAGAGACACTCGTTTATTAATTTATATTATTATATTGCTTGTGTATAGTGAAAAAAAAAACACGCGTGGGTTGTTCCATCCTCGCGTGATATGAATGTTTCAATGAATATTATTTGAATTACGCAAATTAAATGAAAATGATTATACTATTGATATTTGTTTTATCTTTGATATTAAAGTAAATACAGAAAATTATTTAAATTCCGTGACTGAATTGATTAAAATAATATGAATAAATTGTACCAATTCACCCCCTGCTCTATCGGCGAGATAACTGGCACCATTCCACAAACATTCATTCGCGTCCTCTTCGAGTTCCAAGGGATTGTGTTCTTTGATCGCAGGGAGTGCAGGTATTGCGGTACAAGCATTCGATTCTTTCCACGTTGTAGATTCTGTTTGAACGAGGTCCTCTGTCGACAAAGAAAAACTCCAGTCTTCCAATTCCGCCCTATCATATTCCAACTCGAGTAGATCTCGATGCTGTTGAGCGCTTCTGCTATCGTCCAATCTAAAGATACGATAGGAGAAACTTATTATAATCCATCGATATAAAATGTATATATATATATTTCTTTTGCGTGAGAAGTTTCGACAAATCGAATGGAATATAAAATAAATAAGGACAAGTAGGAAATATTATTAACGTTCACTACCAATATTTTATATTTTATGCGCGTAAGTTCAATTAAGAATTATTTTCCGTAGAAAAATAATTATGAAACAATAAAACATCCCCTGTTGTATATATGTCGGTTAATTTATTCGTGAAAATTGATCCTGATAAAAATCATTCGTTTTTATTCATAAATAAGTACCTTATTTATATCGACATTTTATTTATGAATCAGTCCAATACGTAAACATCTGAAATAAATTTGAATAATGTCGAGAGAGAGAGAGAGAGAGAGAGAGAGTATTTGGTATTATCCATCAGAGTAATTTCCGTGGCAGCAAACGTGTATAAAGGTTTAAGGAGGAAGCTCGATGGACGAACCTGAGCCATTGCTGTACGTACTCGGCATCCCAGCCCTCCTCTTCTATGAGAAGTAGGGAGGAGGATCCCATGGGGCTCGGTAATTTGTACGGCGTGAAATTACTCGTCGCAGTGAGTTTCAAACAAAGATGACTGTCCGAGAAGCTACGCATCACGTGTTGATAGGGTAAAAGGTCTTTGCTCGGTGGATAACTGTGCCGTGGATTAATTCCAAGAGTTAAATTCAGAGGTAGAAAGAGAACATCAGGATCTCCGGCATCTAACGCGATCAAACGCGCGTCCGGTGAAACGTCGCCTTCGGTCTCATCGGTTGCCTCTTTGAGATCTTCCAATCCACGCGAGGAAGGTTCTTGACGAGCACCTTCACCTTGAACATCGCTCGACATTGTCGAGTAACCCTCATCCCTGTTACCACTTTCAGGACTCTCGCTACCTTCTTCTTCCGCGGCACCCGTTGTCCCATTTGACGCTGATCCTGAACCCGTTGAAGGTTTTTGACCTGAAATAACGAATAACGGTAGATAGTGGTGAAAAAGTAAATCACAGATTGTTATTTTATTTTTCAAATGTAATACCTAGTGTTGGTCTGTTTCGTCGACACTTTGTTGCAGCTGCCATAACGGGTATTTGTAAATTAAGAGAACGTGGTCTAGAAAGTGGAACCCAGGATGGATCCAAGCTAAGGGCAGCTACCAATGCAGCTGGCCCAGCTTCGAGTATATTTTGTATCAGTTCAGTGGGACTTCCAGGACTCGCTGCTTGAGCTAGGAGACCCGACAGCGCTCGATTTTGAGCTTCGAGTTCTCGTATGCGCCTCTGCAACGCACCGATCTCTTCCCTGAAACCCTAAACAAATGTGGACATGTATCAGTACATTTGAACTCGTTAACAGGCATTATACTACTCGTGGGTGTGTTTTTTTTTTAATGTATTTAATTAAATTAAAGATTAATTTACAGAAAATCTTCTGCAACATTTATGTTAGTACATGCGAATTGGTTTTAAAATTCAGGGAATATAAAGTACTTAAATTCACGTCCAAAAAAAAGAAAAAAAGTTAAGTGAAGTTAAATGAAGGAGGGAGAATGAAGTTTTGGATGAACCTTTTGGGATAGAAGGGCACGGACCACCTGGTTGGCGACGTCGTCGAGGCACCGCTCGTATTGACGACGTTGCGCATCCGCGTCACGAGCCAGAGCTGCGTGTTCGTTTTCCAAGGTCGCCAAACGTGCAACCAAGGCAGCATGCACCTCGCCAGCACAGGCAGCTTCCAATCCACGCAATTGACCGCGCATCGACTCGTTCTCCAATTGCAACTTTGAGATCTGGACCTGATACTGATGTACTCGTGCCTAAACAAGACAACGACCGGGTGGTTAAAGGATTATTGTAACACAAATGGAATTTTTTTCTTTTGCTTTTTTTTATTAATCTTGTTTTCAAGTACCTACTGATATTGCATTTATCGCAATTAGCTGGTAGAGTTAATAAAGCGTCAACGCGTTATTAGCAGAAAGGCGGTTAACGTTAAATTAGAGCTTAGGAGCTGCCAGGGACAGGAACGCTAATAGAGGGTGCGTGTGTCTGATTTATAACGGTCGTACCAACCAGCGGTTCTCTCATCCCACTGTTAATGTCTATCCTCACCCTCTGTATTCGACCCCACTCCCCCATTCTTCATCATCCTACCCTTCCAGCCCTTTTTTTCTCTCCTCGGTCGGTATTCTTTTCGAGAGCGAAGGGTAACAACAACGATTTTCTGTCATCTTCGACCGGAGAAAATGGAACGATTGTTTTTTTCATTTCTCCGATTTCAACATTTTTATCTGCGAAATTTCATTGAGAATACTATTGTCTTTTATGTGTACGTCTATGTTTTTCAAATAATTTATATGTGTATGAAAACGAATAAAAAAGAAAGAAAAAAACATTTTGAAATTTTAGGATCTAGAGTTGATCGATAATAAAAGATATTTCGTGGGGCCTACAATGTGAACCACCCTCCAGTCGGACCAAAGTACGACTCTTTTAGAGGGAAACCGTCCGTGAACGAGATAGCGTAGTACATCGTAAAGTATAAAGGGCTGCTAGCAAACGTCGTATTTACGGTTCCCCTCTTTATCGAGCCATACATAGCTCCATGAACTTTCCCTTTTGTTGAAATTCTGACTTGCTATCTCTGATTAATATAGTTTAAAGTTATATACGTAAATATACCTTTGATGATATACACACGTGTGTACAATCAAATCGACTGAATGCACATACGTATTTCTAATTTGTTTCTACCCACCCACCCCCCTTCCTCCCACCGAAACAGTGAGTTACAGTGAAACGTTGGTATTTGGTATTCGAATAATTCTGAAAAATATTTTCTAACGATATAAGCTAATACATATATTGGTGTATTATTTATTTAAATATAAATTATTTAAAATTCTGATATTAAAAAAATCAACGTACACAATGTACCCAACAAAAAGCTCAACACAATGTTAATTGTTAATTCATAACCATAGATTAATCTTTGTTAGAAATAAATTATACTCTTGCTCATTGTTAGTATAGTGTGCCAGTATATATATATATATAAAAATTCGATCAAAAGAATTTTTGAGAACATTAACTCGCGAATAATGATGGTTGGCAGCTGTTACGATGGTGTGGGGTGGAATTTTTCTTACCTCGTAGGATAGCGTGAGCGCGGTCTTTTCTTGCTTCAACTGTTCGGCCCTTTGCTTGTGTTGCAACAATCCACGCGATGATTCTTCCATCCTACAACAACAACAACAACAATAATAATAATAATAATAATAATAATAATAATAATAATAATAATAATAACACCACACAACATATAAGAAATCAAGGTAGGCGTTAAGAAGAGCCCCCCACACGGTTAAATTTTAATCCTCACTGAAATGATCCTAATTGAATACTACCTCTAACGATTCTTCCTGCTTCTTCTTCTTCTTCCTTCACCTTTTCTACTTTGAATCATATGAAATAAGAAGAGAGAGCGAGAGAGAGAGAGAGAGAGAGAGATAAAGAAACGGATAGAATTGGCTTGATACGCGTATTCTTTTCTTTTTCTTCTTCTTGTTGAAGAGAAAAAAAAAAACTCTACAGATTCACGAACGAAAGGTACAACGAAAAATTGGAAGTTTATATTTGAAGATCGTTATATAGGCTTTTCATCTCTTTTTCTTTCTTTCTTTCTTCCTTGAGTAAGCCGATTTTACTTTCGTTTAGTTTCGTAAGTAAGTACACACTTGGTTGGAAATATCGGAAGGGTTAATCGGCTTTAAAAGCTCCTCTCTCGTTAAACTTTCGTATTTGTATTAGCTCTTAACTTAGCGCTACTAAAACGATTATGCAATTGATTTTCTCCGATTTGTAGATACAGAAATTCTTAACATAACTTCCAAATTATCTTCTATTCCCTTGTATTGGGGGTTAACCAATATAATGATATTTTTCATTTAATATTTTACATTTAAATAAACAATACTGTTATATTTCTATTTTTTACAGAAAAATTTCCAAATTAGTAATTGTTCATTTCGATAGAATCAAAATATTGAACAATTTTAACATTATTATTTATTAGGTCAATCCTTTTGACAAGTTTTTATTCTTATTAATTTATTATCAGATAATTATATAATGTACCTTCGGTTATAATATTTTTTCTCCCCATATCCTATTAGTTTTTTTGATTTCGGTTTAAAATCAATCTATTTTATCTATCTATTATTCTCTTTCTCTTGTTATTTTTTTTAAAAAAGCATTTCGATCTTTCCTCTGTTCAATTCTTTTGATATTCTCTTTCCCCTCCCTTTAGGTGCGTCGTCGTTGGGTCAAAAATGAAGAAGGACGAACGATACGCAACTATATATCATTGGACAAAAGCCAATATTGATGATTTAGCATCGAATTCTCTGGTTATCGGCGCGTGAAACACTTCTCTCTCTGCTCCCCCTTCTTCCCCCATTACCCACCTCCAATCTTTCTCATTATTTATACGTTATAACCTTCCTTCGGGCATTTTTATACCGCGTGGTCTGGTCCACCGAATATAAAATACCTACCACAACCAGCTTTCTCTTTCTCTCTCTTTCTCTCTTTCTCTCTCTTCCTCTCACTGCGGCTCGATGAAATAAGCGAGGAAATAAGCGACGTTCATAACGTGTTATCGAGTCAAACGAGGGTAAAAACCGTGCCAAAGACCAATGGGTAAGAGAAAATGAAAAATACAAAAAAGAAAAAAAAAGCCGGAGAGAACGAAAATCTCTGTCATTACGTACACGTTTGTATCCGAGATGGGAGGGAGGTTTCTTTTTTTATTATTTGTTACTCGAAAAAAATGTCTATGTTCGTCCAGAATTGAAGTAGTTCTAATTTATTGATTTATTAATTATATATGCTATTATATTCACGTGTTTGAATTATTGTTTTATCAAATACGCAAGATTAAATTTGTAAAGAATCAAAATTGCTTTTACTATTGTTCGTATTCAATTCTAGAACAAAATTTTTTATTATCTCTGTGTTATTAAATTAGTTATATAAAAATTTAAAGAAATGAATGAAATATTAATAATAAATATTTGACTAACCTTGCCAATTCCCTTTGTAAATGATGTACCCTAGATCTCGCACGTTCAGCTTCAGCTGTAGCTTCTCGTAGCCGAGCTTCGGCCTCCAATCGTTGTCGTCTTTCTCGTTCAACATCTCGTTGCGTAGCCTCCCTCTATAAAACAAGAAAAATAATTAACAAAAATAAATATAATATAATAAAACAAAAAGTAAATAAATATTACCGATTTAATCTTATCGGAAGAAAAAAAAAGAACAACACACCACCACCCACATGAATAATAATAATTAGTTCATTTTGCATCGACACGCAAGAGATTTTTCAATTCTCTAACGTGATACGAAACTATAGTAATTTCTTTTTGATAAGGGTTTCCCTCTATTCCCACGATTTTTTTTATCTCAAAGTTTCCAAATAATTAGATCTTTTCTTGATTAAATCTCGATTAAAGTTTTATCGATCGATACCCACTATCGAAGTTGAAAGAAAATAAAAAGGAAGAAGAACAAGAAGAAGAATAAAAAAAAAAAAAAGAAAATAAAGACGAGGAAGAGAAACAGGAGGAGGAAGAAAAGCTCGTCGATCTTGAAGTTCCCCCTCTTCCCCTTCCCGCCCTTTTTAGTTCGGTGGAGGAGATGGAGGAATTATTCATGAATTTAAATCGAAGCGTTGCACGCTACATTGATTGCACCCTTTTTCGAGTATCGAAACGAACTACTACCAAGTGAAAGAAATAAGGACGGAAGATGAAGGGAAGGAAAGGGAAGGGAAGGAAGGTTGCCGAGTGGACAACATTTTCTCTCCATTTCTCTCCTTTCCTCTCGATTTTCTCTCTCTCTGATAATTGGGATGACCCGGTCTACCGAAATTCGTGTCTCGCGCGATTTAACCCCCATGGGAATTATTGCATCTATAGATAAGCTCATAATAATCAATTTTGCCGTACAGATAGGTTGACAATATTAATTATAAATCTGTTTTCATGGATATTCCTGTGTAGTAGTATATATAATTTTTATATTTATAGTTTATTTAAATAATAATAAGAAGAAAAAAGAATAGAGAGAGTTTGAGAATAATAATAAAAATGAAAAAGAAATAATGATATATTTTTAAAAAGGGATCAAATAAATTGAATATAACAAAGCAAACGTTGAAATAAGAATACAGGTGTTGAAGCGTTGAAATTGAAGTTCCATTTAATATTTAGAAACCAATAAAACATTTTCCATTCCCCTCTTTGTAAGTATCAGATGAAAGGCCTGTCTTTTGCACTCACCTGTGCTTTACACCTAAAAAGGAGATAAAGGAACGCGCTGGGAGAGACGGAAAAAGGGGGAGAGAAAAGGAGAGATGATGATTCGTTGTTGGTAGGAAGAGTCAAGTGAAAAAAGGCCGACGGTTTTTTTCCCTGAGAATTTTGCGAAAGCTTTAAGTAAAAGCGTTGTTTGCTTGCTTGCTGCCGAAGGAGAACTATCGAGGAATACAATCTGGTAAAAGCCGACTGACCGAACACCATCGAGAGGATTCAAGGGATGCTTCGAGTGGATTTATGGGAGCCTTAAATCCCTAAGAACGCCATCTACCCCCTTTTCTCTTCTATCCTTTCTTTCTTTCTTTCTTTATCATTCTCTTCCTTTCTTTCTATCTATCCATCTACCTATATCTATCTATCTTTCTCTTTCTCTCTCTATTTCTTATTTTCTTAGAAAAAATCGTGGCTACTTTCCATTATCCGTATAGATACGTCACGTATTTACGACGAATTTATTTCACATGGGGGAGGGGGATTATATACAAATACAATCGAAACATCCACGAGTAAAAAATAATGGATAATTCTCGATTACTTTTTTTTGTTTTTTTATTTTATTAAATGACAATTCTTCTAAAGGAAATATTTCTTTTGTGAAGTATGAATGGATCAAATTAATAAAATAATATTTATGATAGTCACAACGTGTATTATTTAATGAATCGTGAGATAATATAGTATACGAACCATGTGCTTGTTTTCTAGGTCGAAATTTAAATGAACTACATCGAACGTACAATTCGTTTATTAACTCTTCAACGAGCAATGAATTTTCACAATGGCAATAAAAACAAACTTTTTAAACCTTATAGAACTAAAAAGCACGCTTCTTTATGTTCGATTAAAATAAATGAATAAAAAATATCGTGCTAAAATAAGAAGACCATAGAAATGTAAATTTGTGACAGTATTATTACGTTGTCAACGTATTTTAAACGTATACATAAATGTATATTATACGTGTTACGTTATGTGTTATCTTATGACATAAATGTATATTCTCGTTATTCAACGAGTTATTTCAAAGTTATTTTAGGAAAACAGAGAACACTAGTTGGAAAACATCATCGTAGTATAAGAGCTAACTCGAGTGAACGAACGAACGAACGAACGAACGTATGAATGCTTCGTTCATTGCTATCTCGTGAATGAGTTTCTCTCGTGAGTATTACGAACAGCTATCAACAAACTCGTACTCGGCAGTGTAAATGACACGTATATTCCTTCTACAATTTCTTTTCCACATTGATTTACACATCAAGATATTATACACGTTTAAAAATATGCGTAATAGGATGTGATCTCGAGATATTAAATAAAATACACAAAAAAGTATTACAGGAAACGATATAAATTTTAACTCATACTATATACGTTGTTATATTGAAACTTTTTGATTTGAATACAGAAATAATTGTGTTTTTTTTTTCTAGTCAAATTAACTTCTATCTAAAAACAAACGTTTTCAATTTGTTGCGTATTAGAATCTCCCAACCCATCTCTTTTTAGTATAATTACAAATTGTCATTACCAAATTTGAGAGATTATTAATCACGATTATTTAATCACACGTGCCTATCAATGTTACAAATTTTTTAATATGTAACATAGTACTTTCTTTCAGATGACCATTTAATTCGCTATAAATAATCTTAAGTTAAGAAAGATAGATATTTTAAAATCGATCATTACTCTCTATAATAGTTAATCGATAAAGCAATCAATCAGTATCTGCAACTGATCAAACAAGGTAAAAAAAGAAAAAGAAAAGTAATCGATCTGTGAGAAGGTGTCGGAGTCGAAATAAATGATTACGACGGACACACTCACCCTACTTTGTTTAGTTAGACTAGTGCCCATCAAGGAGCGACGATTTTTTGGTATCGTGGTCGTCGCATCGGCAATAAAATATCGCCGATTGAATGGTTGTTGTTGGTTCTTGTTGGTCGTCGTCGTGGTCGTCGTCGTTGTTTCGATGGTCGTGGTCGTGGTCGTGGTCGTGATCGTAGTAGTAATAGTAGTCGTAGTAGTAATGGTTGGTTCGTTGGGCGGACATTCCCGGGCGGAGGGTGCGCCGAGCCCTCCGGCCGTTGGGCAGCGTCGTATTAGCGAGGCCACCCTGCCGAACAAGGGATGATGATTCTTCGCGAGTCCTCTCGCGAGTCCTCTGCTGAGTCCTCTCGCGAGAGCTCGCAACAATCCCAACGCACTATTATTATTATTATTATTATTACTCTTGGTGCACTCACTTGTGTTAATATTTTGTTCACTGCAATCACTCTTAACACAATTTTCTTTATTTTTCTCCACGGTGATGAAAATAACACTTGATCATTGCGATTAACATAAAGTTTAGATTATTTTTTTGCTTATATTTTATTACATTTGATGATACGCGAATATTGATGATTATTGCTTGTCACGTGACACACAAGTTGCATTACCTATGTAAATATACTTCCCCCTTTTCTTCTCTTCCTCCTCCTCCACCTTCTCGTTTATAATCACGATCGCACTCCTCCCCCAAGCTAACCGAATTTCTTATTCATCGAGCGAGTAGAAAATACGATTGAAAAAATATACCCTCCTTATTTATGTTATAACGCTCTATTATCGAGAGGTAGATAATACAATTCTTTTTTTTTTACGAGCGGGTCAACACTTTTCAGATAAGAGGCCGCTATTTTATTAAGGCAACGTTCTTTCTTTTTTTCTTTCTTTTCTGTCTTTTTTATTTTTTTTCGTCTGAGAAGAGAAATATTATATCGGATAAAATCATAAGGAAGAGCAGTTTATAAGGCCGATCTTTTTTCCTTCATCATCATCATCATCATCATCATCATCATCATCATCATCATCATCATCATCATCATAATTCCTTTCCCCTTCTTCTTCTCCTTCCTCCACCACCTCCACCACCACCACCACCACCACTCCTCTTCTTCCTTCTCCTTCTTCTCCTTCTCCTCCTCTTCCTTTGACTTTCTCCTCTTTCTTTTCTTCTCTCCTGTCAACTCGCGTGATTATGTTTGTTCTCCTCGGCCGACAACATGCCGCACGCGACAACGACCCTTGTCATTCGACTCGTCCCTTCCCTTCGCCCTTTTCGACAAAAAAAATAACTCGAAAAATCAGACAAATAAATAGATGGAAAAAGGAACGGAGTTAACAAAAATAAATAAATATAAATATATATATAGAAACTTGTGTGGGGGTGGGAAAAAAAGGGAAGAAAAACGGACGGAAAAGATAGTTTTGTCCGGTGTTGTACGTGTCCGTCACGCGTGATCTTTCCCTTACGACTGAAATTTCCGAGGGCCAACCCTCGGAACACTCTGAGTCTGACTCACACACTGCGACCCTTCTGAAACACCGAACCCCCGACAACCATGCTCTTCTTCTCTTCGGCCACTCGACTGCGTCTGCGTTTGCGTTTTGCGTTTACGTCTGCGTCTGCGTCGAACAACCCCTTCTATATTTTCCTATTCTACTATTCGTCTATCTCACTTTCTCTCTTTACCCCCTCCTAATACTCCTTTTCCACTTTCCCCCATCCCTCTTTTCCCTTTCACGTGCTTCTTCGTTCAAACTTCTCTCTCACTCTTTCCTCATCCCTTTGTCGCACTATACATCAGCACCACCACCACTACTACCACTACCAAACAACCCCCCTCCCTCCTACTCTCTACTATCCATCCATCCCTCTCGACCACTCTTTGCCAGCTTGCGTCGTCAGCCGTTACACACTTTTTTTCGAACAAAGCGAGACCCTTTTTCGATATTTTTCTCTCTTTCTCTTCGCATTCTTTGTGACAAAAATATTACTTATCTACGAATT